CTTACAAGCTTTCAAGAGGAAGCCTAGACCCAGAGGGCGTGGAGGAAGGTAGAATCTGAAAGGAGATGTGGATAGGTCTCTTGTGATACAATAGTGAGTAACTGTTATCAGGACTGACTGTGAGGGCTTGAAATTTAAAGGTAGACATTTTGTAGCAAAAGGAGGGGAGTGAGTGACTTTGCACTCTAGAAGAGGAAGTCCCTGGGACTGTCAAGGGAGAAGAGCGGACAGTGGGAACCCTACCCAGAGAAGCAGTGACACCAGAGATGGAGGTAGAGAAGGTGATATGGAGAGATGGAGTGTCTGGGGACTTTAGACCCAGAGAGGGAGAGGGGCTGTGTGCTGATGATGGGAGGGTCAGGCTTGCAGGGTATACCCTTTGGTTGGTTGATGATGCATGGAGGGGATTGTGACCATGGCAATGAAACGATATATGATAGGATGAATGTAAAGCTAATGTTCTCCCATGTAAACTATCACATAATTCACAATAAAAGATTTAAAAAAAAAAAAGAAGAAGAAGAAGAACAGCACACTGGAGGCCAACAAGCTTCCACAACCTGCCGTCTGAGATGGACACCCATCTCTTAAGCCTAGCATCTGTTTTATAGCTGAAGGGTAGATAATTACCGGCTTATTGCCTCGCTGGGCTTTATTACACCAGGCTTTTCAAGTAAAACTGAATTAGTATTGTGTGTTTGAAACCTTGCCAGTGAACATATGAAAGGAAAACATACTCATTCTGCTAATTGTGGGCTTCTAGAAAATGGCCAGCCAGGCCTTCTGGACAAGCAAGGAGTCTGCTGACACCTACTATTTGTGAATCTTCACTGCGTAACTACTTCACATGCAGCCTTTCCTTTCATCTTCATGTTATTCGGTGCACAGTGTCTGTGATTCAGTAGTGACTCAATAAAGTTTAATATCTAGATAACCATGCTCATGAGTAGCAGAACCCAGGTTTGAACCCATATAAATCTCAGTATGACTTTGTCTTGACAACCTTTCACCTACAGATTGTACATGAACACCTGTGCTTACTGCTGATGTTCTATTCTCCTACTTTCCTTCAGTATTTATTCATGTGTTCTTTCCATGACTTCTTTTTGTTTGTTTCTTTTTCCTTTTATATGATGGAGACACCATTGGCCAGTTCTTTGATACTGGGCTGTGACAACCACTATCCTTGTTTGAAACAGTCCTTGCTTGTTCATATCTCTCATTTGGCCTGACATCAAAGCTGAAAAAGGTTACTGATGATGGTATTGAACTTTTTCACTATGCAAATTATGTAATGATACAAATGACTTTATATTAGTTTAATAAAATACTTTATCAGTGCCCATTGAACATGTCGAGCAGTAAAGTATATTTTTGGTTACAGGAATGACTTAAATCTTGAAGAAGAAGAATGTGACAATATTGAACTCCAAAGTGCAGACTCTACCACTAGGCTTTGGGAAGATTGGGGCTGTATGCCATATGCCACTGTGTTCCCTATTCCTACCCAGTGATCACCTGTATCAACCCTCCATGAATAAAGAGTGAAGACTTAAATGCCTTCTTTGGCCTCCTAACCTTCCATTGTTTATTGTCATTTTATTAGAACAGTGGAAGTTGATAAATGCTGTTTGACTAACTTTCAGGATCTAATGCACTTGCTAAAAGGCATGTTGGTTATGCTTTAGCTTAATTAAGTGTAATTAATCAAAATATGATATTCTCTGAGTTGTAGAAATAATGCTTCCTACGTCTATTTAATTATTCTAAAACAATTACAATGGCAGTTACTGATAAATGCTTTCAAGAATGGCAAAGCAAAATGTAAAAGGATGGAGAATGATAGATGGGTGTCTGTTGTTACACGATAATAAGGTTGTCATGTAAAATATATGGATAATATTGTAATGTAAAGAGAATGGTATAGCACTGTAGAATAAGCTCTGGACTGCTAACCACAAGGGTGACAGTTCAAACCCACCATCTGCTTCTTCAAAATCCCTATATGGGATCCCTAGGAGTCAGAACAGTTGACATTTAACAACATTATAATGTAAAGTACATTTAAGTATAAAAAATTAGAATATATCCTAAGGTGAGCATCATAATCATGCTATAATGAATCATAAGAACTGAACCTGGCTGTACCACTTTCATCGGACAGTATCATCAATATCCCATGAAAGTAAAAGTTTGCTCCAGGTAATTCAAAACCAGCTGCAACTGTACATTGACTGAGAACTGCCAGAGGATCAAGCTGAGTTCACAAGAGGACATGGAAGGAGGGATGTCATTGCTGACGTCAGATGAGTCTTGATTGAAAGCAGAGAATACCAGAAAGATGTTAAGATGTTTTGATTGAAAGCAGAGAATATTAAAAAGATGTTTACTTGTGCTTTATTGACTACGCAAAGGCTTTTGATTGTGTGGGTCATGACAAACTATGGACACCATTGCAGAAAATGAGTATTCTGGAACACTTCGTTATGCTCAAGAGGAACCTGTGCATAGACCAAGAGACAGTTGTTCAAACAGAACAAGGGAACACTGAATAGTTTAAAATCAGAATAGATGTATACCAGGGTTGTATCTTTCACCATATTTATTCAATCTGTATGCTGAGAATATAATTCAAGAAGATGGTTTACATGAAGAAGTACATGGCATCAGGATTGGAGGAAGACTGATTAATAACCTACAATATGCAGATATGATACAACCTTGCTTGTTGAAAGTGAAGAGGACTTAAAATACTTACTGATGAAGGTCAAAGACCACAGCCCTTGGTATGGGTTGCACCTCAAGATAAATAAAACAAAAATTCTCTCCACTGGACCAATAGGTAACATCAAGATAAACAGAGAAGAGATTGGAGATGTCAAGACTTCATTTTGCTCAGATCAACCATCAAAACTTATGGAAGCAGCAGTCAAGGCAAATCTGCTGCGCAAGACTTTTAAAAATGTTCAAGAGTGAAAATGTAAGTTTGAGGACTAAAGTGCACCTGACCCAAGCCATGGTATTTTCAGTAACCTCATATGCATGTGAAAGTTGGACAATGAATAAAGAAGACTGTAAAAGAATTGATGCACATGAGTTATGGTATTAGAGTAAAGGAGAATTATATTAAAGGTACCATGGATTTCCAAAAAAACAAACAAATCTGTGTTGGAAGAAGTACAACTAGAATGCTCCTTAGAAGCCAGGATGGCCAGACTTCATCTCTCATACTTCAGATATATTATCAGGAAGGTCTTGTCACTGGAGAAGGACATCATGCTTGGTCAAAGTGGAGGGTCAAAAAAAAAAGGAAGACCCCAAGTAAGATGGATTGGCAGAGTGGCAGCAGCAATGGTCTCAAATGTAGCAACAATTGTGAGGTTGGCTCAGGACTGGACAGTGTTTTGTTCCATTGTACTTAGAGTTGCTCTAAGTCGGTACCGATTTGATGGCACCTAACAACACCATAACCGTGTCATAGTGATTATAGAGCCAAAAAGATTATTTCAAGCAAGTATTTTTTCAGTTATCTGGCAGGGTTTCAAATCATTTCTTCCCTGTTCAATCATGGCCAATGACATGAAACCAGATTTGTGAAATGTAGGTGAACTAGAATGATAACTGCAACAGGAAAAATCACAGTTCAACACCTTGGCCAAAAACTTAAGTCTGCCTGTTAGGAAAGAAGGGTGTTGTGCACATTGCATAGCAACCAAATCTCTTGAAGAGCAAAATTGGAAACAACAGTTCGCCATTCAAAGATGGCAGCAACTGTGCCACTTTGAAGGTTTGTCAGCCTGCCTCCAATCCAATCTCCCACATCAATTTTCTAAAAGGATTCACTTGGACTTGGCAGAGTCCAAGTCTCACATTCCAAGGCTTCAGCCCCCAATTTTTCCTTTTTCCAGTTACCATTCTGTTTCACCCAAATTTTTAAAAAAACTTGCATTTGTGCTGATTTCTTTGTTGGACATGATTTGAACTGGTTTGAAGCAGTTTGAAGCCCTGCTTCTTGTTGTGTAAAAAGCTGTGACCTAATCCTTTCTCAGGTCTCCTTGTGTAGCGCTGTAGGATAAGCACTGAACTGAGAACCACAAGGTCAGCAGTTCAAACCCACCAGCTGTTCCTCAGAAATCCTATACAGGATCACCATGAGTTGGAACCAATTTCACCACACTTAACAGCAACAATAACAGTCCTTTCTGTGGCGTCATGGTGTGGCCCTGTAAGATAATGCACTGGACCACAAGGTTGGTTTGAACTGTAAGGTTGGCGGTTCAAACTCACCAGTCTCACTCCTCAGAAATTCTGTACAGGGTCGCTATGAGTCAGAACCGACTTGACGGCGCTTAACAGCAATAGCAGCAATCCTTCTCTTACTAGAGCTTGGGCTTTTGAGACCAGCACATGCAGTTTAGAACACAAACGCAAACATTTTTAAATCATTGCTGTGATAACATTTAAAATAATATGTGGGGAGGCATCATTAATGATGAAAAGAATCAAATAAATGTTATTTTTGATCCACATTGCAAGTTTTTAAACTGATTTTCAGATGAAAGCATTTTGGCAGGCATAGTTGAGATGCGTTGGTGTTAGAGCTTTATATAAGATAAAGTTGCCAGTTTTGTTAAAATGAATGACTGGAAATGTGATTTGAAATCCAGAGCAGTTGTGTATACAAGTTTATTTATGGTACTTCCACTCTGAAATGGCTCAGTGTGATATCGCCTCAAGGTTCAAATTTCATGTTGTGCTAGCCTAACCACACCTGGAACATAATATAGTCCTGTTTAAACTGTTACATCAGGATGTTTGACTTTATTGTTTTCACAAAGGATACATATGTATTTAGACTTGAGGAGTGGGAGTAGGTCAAAGGCATTTTGCTTCCTCACATCACTTCCCCCTGATTTTAGGGGGAAACTATCAAGAATTACTTCGGGATGGTATCGGATACTTGTTATATGTAACCTTATATCTGAATGTTCTCTTTGCAGATGATACAGTCCCTCAAGGCATTGATTGAAAATGCAGATGCTGTGTATGAAAAAATTGTACATTGTCAAAAGGCTGGTAAGTGAAAGTTGTATTCCTCTTCTTCAAATTTAGTAACATCATATATTTTGCCCATGTATCTTAAGCAATGTTATCAGTTCTTTTTTGCTATCATATCAAGAAAATCAGATCTGAAAAATTTGCCACGATCTAAAGGAAATATGGGTTCAGTGGTTTTCAAGCCTGAATAGCAAACTCATCTGGGAGAGCTTTAAAGATATGTGGCCATGAGTCTGTGGTGAGGTTTGGGAATTAATAGGTGTTCAGAGTTTCCAAGTGTTTATAATGTGCAGCCAAATGAGGAACCCTCACACCAGTCTGTTCTTCAGGATTGCCTATGCCAGTCCTTGTAGCATTAGTCATGACTTGTGGATACGTAGTACAACAGGTGAAGCTTGAGGGGAAAGCTGTAACAGAGAAAGAATGTTTTCTTAAAAAATGAGAATGGGACCCAGTTACTAACCCTTGACATGTTTTAATGTGTTGGCATTTTTATTTACAGATAAATTATCATCCAAATTATAAAATTCTACTTATGGAAACAACCACCTAGCTAATTTTAGCTGTGGAAACGCTAGAAAATATCAAATGTTCTCTGCTGTAATAAGTGTAGACAAAATGGAACTCTTTCAGGTTTCAAAATTTGAGTGTCAATTTAGAAAATTCTTAACCTGAAGAATATTTATCAATCATAAATTTAAAATATTTTTTCTTAATTTCTAAGGTTTTTGGTTACAGATTGTTGTTGTTGTTAAGTGCCGTCGAGTCGGTTCCGACCCATAGCGACCCTGTACAGGGTTTCCGAGGGTGTAAATCTTTACGGGAGTAGAAAGCCTCATCTTTCTCCCGCGGAGCGGCTGGTAGTTTCGAACCGCTGACCTTAAGGTTCGCAGCCCAATTCGTAACCTCTACGCTACCAGAGCTCCTTTTAATACTCTTACAGATACCATTCTTTAAAGTCAAGAAACTATAGCTGTTAACTTAGCCTGGGAAAACATATTTCTTGTCTCAGAAATGAACCTATTTAAAATATATTGAAGATAAAGGTATATGTGGGGTTTTTTTATGTTTAACAAAGGCATATTTATATTTAGTGACTAATACTCTAATAATCTGCATCTTCTTATATTTTTCACCTCATTAGAAAAATATTATTAGCAAAGTGATCTTCAAGTCCTTTTGGGGCTAAACCTCCCTAAAATTCATAGCTGCAGATAATTGCTTCAAACACCATTTTATCATACCCGTCACAAACTATATCCCGTAGTTTCCCATAGTTTCCTGGAGTTATTCTAAGTTCCTAATACCCTATCAACTGACCCACCCACTTTGTCATTCTTATGTATTTATTAATTAAAAAAACCAGCTATTCATTCATATAGTAAATATCTTTTAAATGCCCAAGTAGTCTGGTGACACTGTAGAATAAGAATTAGACTGCTATCCAAAAGGTCAACTGTTCAAACCCACCATCCCCTCCTCAGGAGAAAGATGACGCTTTCTGCTCCCATAAAGGTTTATAGCCACAGAAACCCTACACAGAGTTGCTATGAGCTGGAATCCACTGGATGACAACGGATTGGGTTGTTTTAAACTTCTATTATGCGTGAGGTACTTGCATACCAAAATATGCAAAAATAAGCAAGACTGTGTTTTGCCTTTTAGAACCTTAAAATTAAGCAGGATTTGTGAAAGTAAGCACACATTTAGTAGGACTTAGTCCATGAAAGGACACACATTTAGTAAGCCCTTACTGTGTGTAGCTCAGTAGTCTGAACATGGTTTGCAAGGCTGTGGGGAGCCATTGGCTTTAGAGCAGAGGGGAGAGGAACTGAGCATTGAGTTGATAACCGAGTAGTGGCTGTATGCAGAATATTATGGTGATAGAACCCACCAAAGGTTCTATCAGTAGGTTGATGACAATGGTTAAGGAAGATGCTTAAGTCCAAGGCCTCTGGATGGACTAATAATATTTTGCTAATGAGGTGAATAAAAGAAGATGAGGATTTATTAGAGTATGTGACTGCACCTTTGAACTGGCCTTTCCACATTCTCTGGGAGTTTCTATTGAATCAGATTTTCATATTCCAGCACTTTGCCAATCTGTTTTGTGTGGGTTTTTTTTTTCTTCTTCTTCTTCTTCTTCTTTTAAATTTGTCTCAATATTCATCTAGGAGACCTTTAAGATTGATTTTACTCAGCCATTCTATTAAACTCTTTAGTACATTCATTTGCTTCACTTGATAGCACTTCTTTAGTAATTGTGTATTTTATTAATGTGCTCCATCTTCTAAACAGGATAATAACCTTCTATGGTACCCAGAATGCATCTTGAGTTACTCTTTGTATTTTACCCATGACATCTGTTCTAGCATTCTGTGCAGTCTTCACCCAAATAGTAACTGACTAAATGTGATTTGACTGTTATTAAGTATTTGAGTCTATTAAACACATGCATCATTATGAGAATTGTGAACTATTAAAACTTGAAACTACATTTATCAGAAAAAAATAACTGTATTAATTCAGCAATCTAAGTTATTGTCAATTCATTGCAACTTCATTGGTTTATGAAATCTGGTCATTTCTAGCACAGAGCTTCTTTTGATTTTAATGAAGACTGTGTTATGTTGTGTTGTATTTAAAATATAGCTTGTGTTTAAAAGGAGAAAAGACCAGTTCATGTGGGACTTTTATTGTAGGGTTAGGGGGAGAATAACCACTGTGCAATAGTTCCTGTTGCTCTGGGTTTAAAGATCTTTATGAATATTAAAGATTATCCTTTCATTTCGCAGTTACTGCTGAATGCCTACTCAGTCCTTCTCTTATCCTGAGGACTTATTTTAGAGTCCCTTGATCTTTTGTGTCTCATGTTTACAGTTTATCTTAGAGGCATCTAGTCATTAGTCAGATGAAGAATTGCTAATTTGTATTGGGCTCCAAAGACATTTGATTAAGATTTTAACTTTTGATAAGTAATTGTTATTCTGTTTGCAAAACTCTAATCTTGCTATGATAAAATGAAGTAATATAAGTCACCGAAGTGCTGCAAAAGAGGATTATTTTAGATCTATTTTAATCTTTTGAGCATAAATTTATATTCTTATTAGATAACCTTCGTTTAAACAATTAAATGGGAAGAAAAAGAAAGAGCCTCATCTTGACAGATTCAGATTCCTGAGTATGTGATGGATTTTTTAAGAGATGGAAATGTGTATGCTGATGTGGCTAATGGGAAGAGGGAATGGACAGTCGAGGAACACTCAGAAATAAAGACCTCCAATCACAGATATCCAAGAACCTTCAGGCCCTACTCTACAGATGACCCACAGGGATCCTGAAGGGGGACAGTGAGAACAACTGGGTGATAAACAGTTGGAGGCAGCTTGCACAACTCACTCTTTCAAGAAGAGAATGTAGCCCACTGAATTGGAAAGTTAAAAAGAAAGTTTAATAGGAAAACCTTGGCATGCTCCTAAGAATATAAACCATCCAGTGAAAAGCTGCGGAGAAAGACAATAAAAGAGGTGCAGCAGCGATTAGGACTAAAATGAGGAGGGAAGGAATCAAGTTCACATGTAAAACAGCTGACCTTGGAAAGGGGGAAGGACCCCTCTTTCTCTCTGACAATACAGAAAGTTGCAACATTTGAAGAAATTCTAAGAAAGAAAGAAGTGGTTTTCATTAAGGAGGTGGAGCAGAAAGTAGTGCTGTATGAGAACATTAGCTCTGGGGGAGAGGAAATGAAAGAATAGGTTAAGGACAGGGGTAAGAATGTGGGAGAGTTTGTCCAGAGGCAGAATTCAGTAATGTCTAGTAAAGGGAACCAATTAAATATTTGGCCCTGCAAGGATGACTTGGGATGAATGGGCTGCATATAGGTGAGAAAGATGGAAAAGTAATATACAGCATGGCTGTATTAGGGTATGAATTAAAAAGTATTGCTTCTGGACTTTCAGTTCATACAGGCTTGAGTTTATTCCGAACAAAACATGTTTCAGCATGTCTGTCTGATCAGTGAATGACTGCAGACAAGTTGTCTTAGTGATACACGTGCCTTAGTCTCATTATGGTCCCTTCAAAATAGAGGATACTTTTTGTGCCATGGGAAAAGACCATTTTGAGATCAGGGCTAATCCTAAATTTTTAACAGTACTCAAGTGAACAACTTCCTAAAGCTTTTCAACAAGTTTACAGGAATGCTTCCCCACAAAGAACAAAAGTCTTTAGATGGATCAGGCATTTTAAGGAAAATTGGAGAGACCTCAAATATGAGTCAAGACAGGGAAGACCATCACCCTTGATAAATGATGAAACTGGCTGAAGTCCAGAAGCTGGTAGAAGAGCATAGATTTACCACTGATGTGATAGCTACTGTAACTGGGATCCTATGTGCTTTAGGTTTTGAATTTTCAGAGAACATCTTGACTTCAGCAAGCTCTCAGCTTGATAGGCACTAGTAGTGCTGCATGAACATCGGCTAGCTCAAAGAGCTCATCTTTGCATCAGTCTTTTAAGTAAGATTGAAGCTAAATGAAGATGATGTAATGGAACAAATTATAACCAGGGACAAGTCTTAGATTTACCAGTATGATCAAGAAAGCAAGATCCAATGAAAATTCTGAAGGGATTTGCAGGGCCAATTAAGTTCCAGGAAGAAAGATCAGCTCAGAAGGTTATTGTGACCATTACTTGGAACTCCAAAGGGATAATCTTGACAGATTTTCTGAAAGGACACAGGATGCTCTTGGGGCCATATTATGAAGATTTTTTTAAGAAAATTGAAAACTTTGTTGGTGATAAAAAGGCCAGAAAACTCATGCTGAGGAATGCACTTGCTCATTCTTAGAGGGTATGAGCAAGGACTATCCTGTGAGAATTTCACTGGGAAATGTTACCCTACCTTACCCCACTCACCATATAGCCCTGATTTTACCCCTTCATATGACTCTTGCAGTCCAATGCTTATCCTACTGCACCCCAGAAAGCCAAGAAAAGACTTATGTTCTGACAGTGGG